AGAACTATTTTTATTATCTATTTATCTAAATAACTAACGATTATTTTCTTGATTCATTTAGTTTTATCTCTAAAATGTGCAGCATTCCTTTTGCTTGTTTTGTCCCACTAACAGTCTAAAACCTAAAGATATACAGTACATTTGACTGTTATATAAGACAAAGGAAAAAACACATTTTGAGGAGCTGGAAGAGGAAACGGTTAATCAAAATAGTTGCTGAAATATTTTATGTTGACTGACTATCGACTAATCATTGCTGCTCTATAAATGGCTACCATTGTGGTTACTGTATCATACACAAGATACAACTATAAGACAATGCAATCATTATAACAATGGCTAACACAATTATTGTGCTGCTCTGATGAAGATGCCATGACGTCATAACCGTCCCTCTCAAATCACCCCCTTATGGGGGAAAGACGGGGACAGACGTCGTCAGCACGATTAACTGTCTGTCTGCTTCCACTGCGGTTCTGCAGCTCAACTCTCCCTAATGATAGAAATGTTACAATTATGAATGAGTTTTGGATTTCCTGCATCTGTGTGGGATGTGAGGTGGAGAGTGGAAGCTTATGAGCTCTGACATGCAGATTGCAACAGTGATGGCAATGAGGCAGACTCAAGAGAGCGAGGAAGCCCAAAACAAAACCAAAAAAAAAGGAATTCACTCTGCTGCTGCTGCTGTCTCACTTTTGTGTCTGCGTGCAGACTCAGACAGTGAGTTTTTCCTATTTGTTTTCTCAGGATTAAGGTGGTATTTCTGCTTCACCGGGGATGTATGAGGGTGGACAAGGTCAGCCACCCTGCCAGGAGGACAGGTACCCTAAGAAGCATGAATCTAAGGCTTTGTGACTGGCCAAAAACGGAGAGATGAGGTTAGAATTAGCGCAGGGCAGCCGCTGCTTTTTACACTCAAATTCTCAAGGTTTGCACAGTGTGTGTTTGTGCATTGTTGCGCCGTGCTGTCTGGTGTAGTTTCCAGACAAACTACAGGCACTTTTGCTTCGATTGTGCCTTTTGTTGTCTCAGTCGTTGAACTGCTATGTTATGATTCAAGTGTCCCATTGCTGTGGTGCTCTCTGTACAGCCTGGTCACAATGCCCTGTTTGTCATGAAAGGGATTTTTGGCTCTGTGAGGCTTTCAATGTAAGAAAAGTGTTTGTATTTAATGGACGTATTAAATAAGTGCTTCTTTCCTTGCTGATGGCAATGTCAAATAGAGGGTGAAGGTAAAGGTGGAAAACATACTGTAACAGCGCTGGATCCTTGTTTGCAAATTCATACAAGTGTAATGTTTTCCTTATATATTCAAACTACCTCCATGCACAGACACCGTGGTATATATACAGATGTCTTCATTGAAATTCAATCTGCAAAAAAACCGACATTCTCTTCAGGGCTCCGGAGGTGAAATTCAGCTATCAGGCACGATGGTCAGCGTCTGCATGTGCACTGAAAGCAATCAGAGGGAGTATAAAGCCGTCCTGTCTCTCATGGCCACAGAGAGGCTACCTGTGTGAAAGAGCAGCTGTGGGCTCACGAATGAGGATGCATGAAGAGGCGAGCGCCTGCATCCCCAGCGATCTTCATCTTCACATGAAGGTTGCAGCACATGCGAGGTCAGAATTCTATGATTAATAAGCTCTTCTGATGGCGGGCACGTGTATTAGGCGCAAACATTTGTGTCTCCTTGTGGAGTGCTGAGTGAAAGTATAAATACATTTAAAACATTTTAACTAGTTGAAATGACCAGACTGAGGTTCAGTAAGAATGAATATTTGCTTGTAGGGAAAGTGGTGTGATTTTGGAGTAATTGCAGGGGAGAGGGAGTTCACTGGTGCAGTCGGGCTCAATGCCCTGTTCTGTTGCACTTCATTCTTCTATTGGTTGTGATTTAGATTGTTGACCTCAGCCCTCCCAGATCTCAGCAGCTGGTGTGTGGATTCAGATTGTAAACCTTGTGCTGTGAACGGTTCAGCCATACTGCTGCAGTTGTAATTATATGTGGATTAACTGCATTTTCTTGGACGCTTTTGTGCAAAGGGAAGAAAGAATCTGTGATGACTGTCAATGAGGTGTATAAACCTCTGAGGCAGATTTTTAACTTATTCCTTTTTTTTTTAGCTCTTTATCCACGCCTCCTCTGACTTCCCTCATCACCACTCTTTAGTGTACCTGCTCTATTTTCAATGTGTCAAAGTCTCTCCTATAACATTCCTCTGCATATTGTGTGAGCTCAGTTCACCTTGCATCTGCTGCATCTGTTCAGTGATATATTGCCCTTAAAAAGACTGCAACTTTTACATTAGAATTAAAACTGATCATTTCTGATGATTGATTTATCGTTTAGGTGAAGTTTCTAGCAAAAATCAAACATTTGATATTCAATCTTCTTAGATGTGACGCTTGCTGATGAGCACTTTTCACAATTTTATGACATTTTATACACCAAACGATGAGCCATTCATTATTAAATTAAAAAGCGGATTAATTGGTAATGAATATAAGCGTTAATTGCGGCTATATTTAACATCTTGGCTCTGCTTAACGAACAACTGGCCGCGAGTTAAAGGACACTAAATTTCAAACTATCCTCCTAAGTATCCCACAGATTATTATTATCCTGATATATGCATATTAGCCACTTAGTTCGCTAAAACAAATCCAGTCAGCTTGCCAAGCACCACAGAAGAAAAATAACTCTAACCGCTGCCAAAAATAAACATAACTTCTCAAGCAGTCAATTATGCAACTGAGATGGTTTATATTATTCACAACCCTCCATTCAAATACAGAGAATAATCAACATTTGAGACACAATCATTCATCACATAAACAACAACTGGAGTGGCACCTTGTGTTAATTGTCGTCTATATTAGCAGTCATTTGGTAAAGGCCCCTCGAGACCCAAACCCTCTCTGGGAATTGCGGAGCTATTACAACAGAAAATCATCCAAATCGAATTTTAATGCATAGTAGGCTTATACTATTATTAATCACGAAGCTGTTGCATAGTAAAAAGTTACTTCATTTATTAATTGCTCCATCATTTATCAATGTCACAGGGCTAATGAATTACCCAGGATCTCCTGCTGAGGGACGTCATGTACGTTTTTCATAAATACATGGTCTGGAGAGGGAGGAAAACGCCCAATTATATTATCATTATCATTAGCCGCAGACCTTTTGGGTTACAATAGGCTGTAGCCCTGCAGCTCCCAGAACCAAGGCAACACAAGAGCCAGTGTTAAGCCTATTATCCCACACCCTTGTATCCAGTTATACAATGGCTGAAAAGGCACTCATCCCCCAAAATTTGAAGTCACCGTGTGGTCTCTTCTCTCGCAGATCTGTTGAAACAGCTGTCTCCCGACTAAATAACTCTGTGTGTGTTTAGTCTTTTACAAGACCTGTCTGTCAGACCTCAAATCACCAAAAGGCCCATTGCTTCCCTGTGAGCACCTGAATACTTTAATATGGAAACCACAAGGTCATCCTTTCAGGGATGCGGACACAAACGGATGCATCAAACAAGCACTCAACCACACTTGAATATTTCCACTGCACGGACATTTTTTTTTTGGTATTTTTTTGGGAGCTTGCTCATTTCCTGGGCCCTGTGATACGCAGCCCAGGGGTTTCCGAGCAGAAGGGCGTTCAAGTTTTCTCATGTGAATCAAGAGCTGATTTCTCATTAAAAGCTGCTTTTTAATAAATCTTGCGAGCGTATACATGAAAGGAGGAGTGGGTGATCCAAGTTTTGATAGTATGGTTATATAATGCTGGAGATATTCATTAAGACTGCAGACCAGTTCATGTTTACACATCTGATGTTATCGGTCAGTGGAGGTCCTTAGGGAAGAACACGGTGTATTTAGGTTCGGTTTTTAGTATTACCTAATTTATTATTAGTTAGCACAATAGAGAATAGAGGTTGTGATGCGAATTTTCATTCAGTTCAAAGTTATCTCCCCACCCACAGTGTAAATCCTGTATTTAATCATATCTAACACGACGGTGAGTCTTCAGAATAAAGACTTAACTAAGAAGAGCAGCTTGCCTTATCTTAATGAAGTAGTACTCCATCCTCTCTGTCTTATAGATCCTAGTAAGTCTCACGCAGTACAACCACATGTGCATTACTCTACAACCTTATGGTTGCACTGTTTGCTACAAATACATCTGATGGAAAATATTTTGTGTCTAACGTCTTTATTTTAAGCCAGATGGCACACACAAGTATTGAAGTACACTCAGTGCATACCTCAAACATGGTGAGAAGCTTTAACATATATATTTTTTATTTTGCTTCTTTTCTTGCGTTAGAAAAAAGCTGGAAACACCTGCCTGCAGTTTAATTCACTTCCCGTGTAATTATTTAGGTGGAATTTGTGACTTTCGTGTGCAGTTACATACCTTCAAGTCACCCACACATGTAGACTGAATATTGGGTTTAAAAGGCTGATGTGGCTCTAAATCACGCACACTGTAGATGGACACCGGCGGCATGGTGCGCTTCAGCGCTGCCAGCACGAGTATCCGCTGGGAATAGTGATAGCGCACCCGCCGTACCTGAGCCGAGCAGGGTCAACGTAGGCTAATTGTTATTTACTTCATAATTATAAGTTAGTGCGAAAATACCCCAAAACATCAGCACAAATGCGTTTGGAAGCAGCGAATATAAGCACAGCATGTCGATAATTATCTATGCATCTCTGCAAGAAACGCAAATGACCTGCACGTCTGGTGATGTATCATTTTGACCAACATCGTCTCAGCTCTCGGTTACCGTTTCCACATGTTTGTCAGCAGAATTTTAGTATACTTATATTTTCTAGTTTGTAAGTTTATGGTGCAAATGGGGGTGCAGACACCTCGCCGTTCCTCGTGACGCAGGTAGGCTACGAGGTGTTACATGGTTAATAAAAGGTAAATCGGAGCAAGACGCGTAAAGACTACATGTGTGACTTTTTCCCCACTCCCACTCTTTCCTTACCAAACAAGCGGTTCCGTTTAGGAGGAGCAGGATGAAGCCGTGGTTGGGACGCATCATTCCGGCGCGTAAAACCCACAGCTCCCCCTCCCCGGTAGCAAATATACAAAAAATGTAAAACAAAACTCCCGCACACGGGTTTTTCCTCCTTCAGGAAGATGTTCTTCCTCCGGCACCGGATCCCTCTCGGCTGACGCACGGTCCCATGTCCAAGGCAGAGCTCAACTGCAGCTTCCACAAACCTAAAACACCGACGGAAACCACTTGGAGTCCCCCCCTTTTTTTTTTTTTTTTTTTTTTTTTTTTTTTAAACCAATCCCGGGTTTGAGTCAAATTAGTTGTGGTTTGAGAAATCCATGAATGTGCGGTAGGCTGTTATCATCCATGCAAACAAACAAATATATCCCAGCTCAGAGTGAAATGGGTTGACTTGGACGTGAGTAGATGCTATCTGGTCATTGGTGCCAGTGGAGATCCAGGAGTGATGGAGCTGCAGCCTCCTGCAGAAACTGAGCGATGCTGAGACTGGCAAGAGAGAACACACGTTTTAACAGTTTCTACTCCCTCTCTCTCTCTCTCTCTCTCTCTCTCTCTCTCTCTCTCTCTCGCTCTCCTTGTGTGCATCTCTCCTCTTTTCTCGCCATGAAATCTCTTCTCTCTCTCTCCCACCTTCTCTCTCTCTTTCCCCCCTCCCTTATCTCTATCTCTCTCCACCTACCCAGCATCTCCCTCCTTCTCTCTTTCAGCCACTTTCTCTGATCCCATCCACTCAATTCATTCTGCGTGCAATCAAGATAAAAATGATTAGAATCAATAACTAGTAGCTACACAACAATAAACATCTGTTCCACTTGTATGAGTGCATCTGCCTCTATTTTCTAATCCCTAACCAATATATCTGCTATCATTTTTGTTAAGTCTAATCCTCTGACAACATTGTAGGCATTTCTCATCACCAAGCCTGTCATTAAGTATAATCATCACGATGGGCGGGTGAAAATCATTGATTGGGAAAGACTGGGTGCTTCAGCACTCCTGTGTCATATGGTAGCTGGGGATGTTGAAGCTGCAGCGACAGGAATTTGTCACAAAGCCTGAGTCTCATGCAGGCTTTGTTACAGTCAGATTGTTTGTCCTCCCCACAGGTCGGCCTGTGATCCGGAGCCCCGCCGAAGACTATCGACGTTCTCTGTGAGCCCCGATGAACCAGTGACCGTCACCCCAGTGGGGTGTGATTGATAAAGACTTCCCCCAATAACACACAGTTCATTAGGAGCAGGTTAATGGAGTGAAATGCAAGATATCACTACGCAGGTCCCCTGGCTCCCTACAGCTCCATTTCTGCTTAATTAGACTCATAGATGAGTTTCTCTCGCTCCGTCCATCTTGCTGAGTCTTTCCATTTGCTCTTCTTCCTCTGTAGCCTCCTCTTCAATCCGACAACCACCACAGAAGAATACCTGGTCTGTACCTGTAAGTCACCAGGTCAGACCCTTTTCTATCAGTGTTATTTTGTCTCGGATCAGCCCATCTTAAACCCTTTGATCTGGTGTTTTTTCTGCACCTGCAAATAAAGCATGGGGTGTTATCTGCTGGCCCTTGTGTGAAAGGGTTAATTGATCTCAGTTCAGGGGTTAATTGGCTCGAAGGGGCCTAACGCTGAGGGACCTGACCCCCTGGAGTTGCAAGGTCAGGGCTGAGGGGGGTCACCAGTGGAGATGAGGCCCTGTCAGTCCAGTGTGACTAAGACATCAAAGAGTTTGGCTGCAGGGAAGTCTTCAAGACGGCTGCTCTCTCCCACCCATCTGACTGTGTGCACACACACAGATTCACTGCTCATTATGATGCAGGAGATGCTGATGAAAGATGGGAATGAGCTCATCGACTTAGGAGGTTGCTTGATCTCTCTCTCTCTCTTTCTTTCTTTTTTTATTAGATTATTTCAGAAGCTAAACGTGTCTCTGTATAATGCGAGCCAGCCTCTTCAGTTGCCCGGGGTATCAGGGAGCTCTCTGGGAGAGGAAACAGCAAACCCATAAAGGGAGATCCGCTCCCCAGCCCACAATCTGAAGAAACAGCAACTACAATAAAAATGCCTTTTAAAACGGAGCACGTTCATTCATACACACACTTTCACTCCCGCACATAATTACAGGGCCATAACTCAGTCTGTATACTCTCTGGGGAGGAGCCAGACAAGCGGCAGCTATTTTTTACTCACTTGAAGAAAGAAAAAAGGCTGTGTGCTGAGATACCCATCATTTGACACCCAGGATCGACTTATCTTATAATGTCGTTTCACAGAAGACTCGTCAGCATGACAAATAGGAATGCATGTTTGTGTATTTTCTTTTTATTCCGCTTTCCTGCCAAACTCCCAACAATTGTGCTCAATCATTGCATTGCTCAACACGTAATCCTATTTCACAGTGTAATTCAGTTTGAATGAGGAGCTGCAGGCAACAGACAGCCTGGTGAGATGTCAGAGATCTGGACTGCAGGGTTCATAGATGAGTATTGGCTGCCCTCTTGTGTTTTGTTGTCTGTTCTGCAGCCCCAGAATGGAGGCACAGCTTCAGAAGCGGTGGTAGTAACGGGTGATGCAGGTTCTTTAAAGGGTCAGTTTCACCCAAATGTCAAATAGCCCAAGTGTTATTTAAGCGTGCAGATAGTTTGGGTTTTATTTGTTCGGGTTTTGAGATATCCGGCGCTGTGATTGGTTTTCTGCGACCCCTAAACAAAGGAAGTGGGTTTAGTTTAGTTTGAGGTGCTCACAGCATTGCACATTTACATTTAAAATTCAACTGCAGCATCCCTTTCCAGAATAAGTGTACTCGTATCCATAGTAAACAAATTCAGCAGTTTGAGCACTCATACTTATGTACTTACACACACTTTCATAAAGTCCACAACACTTTGTTCAAAGGGATAACCCAGAGTAAATAGTACTATGACGTAAGAAAGAGACAATACAAGATACAGAACTTTTAAGTATAAAGCTTTGGACTTATTTGGTCCAACAGTTAGTGACAGTTTGTCTTACAAACAGGAAAAGACCAAAAAACTCTGCTGTTCAGTGAAAAACTTGCTTTTCACATTGCATATTCTTAGCCCAGGGCTATCCTTACTGGACTAAGAGTAGACCCTCGGATAATTTAGCCCCTTTACACACACACACACACACACACATTGTTAACCCAAACTTAACCTTAGCTCAGGGCTATACGATTCCCACTGCACTTCTACCAGCACTCAGTTAAATGTTTGATGGAACACTTGACTAGTGTTTACGTTCTCGAATGTGAGAACGTAAACACTGAAGTGATTGGACAACAAAAGAAGTGACGCAAATTACATCCTTTACTCAAATCCTGTTTCACACAGGCAACTTTTAGCCGCGTGTTAAGTTGATTTTTAAAAGATAAGGCAGCAATCTGGAGGCTAACCACTGCTCCAGAGCAGGGCCAGCAAGCCCTGGGCTAAAGTCAGGGTTATCCCGCTTTGCTGAAGATTCAGATGATGTCGAATAAAGTCTGTGAGGATTTAGGGCTTCGTGGGACACTAGAACTGGGCCTATTTCTCCTGTAAAAACTAGATCCAAGAAATAAAAATGGTTCACAATAGTATTATGAGCAACCAGGACATAGTTTCTGGAAATGTGCGTTGCTGTTGATTTTTTTTATAGAGTCACTTTTAAATGCTTTAAGCAGGACAAGATGGGTTCCATTCACCTTTATTATTAAGGGATTGCGGAAATGTCACACACAATTATCTCAAAACCTGGTGTGATGAAACCAAAAATATGTGGATACCACAAGTGCTAAGTGAGAAAATATGTTTCATGTCATTTGGGTGAACTGCCCTTTAAATACCCCCAAACGAGTCACCCCCAGTGAATCAGACTTACACATTCTTAGTTTTGTTTTTGTTTCACATTTTTCTGATGTTGCGGACTATATTTATATTTGCAGATTGTTCCCACAGTGCTTGTTCATATGTGATACAGATGTGCTTGTAGCTTGAAGTATTGCGTGTATCCAGATGTGACTGAAGAGTGAGGAATCATTTTGAGCTCTTGAGGCCACTAGGGGGTGCTGTAATCAAAGGAAACCACGTAGGAGTTCATGAACACCTCTGGCTCTGTGGACTCCTCTTGCATGGATATCAGTAACCATCGTCAAACATCAGAGACTGATGTCTGACAACAACAACAAGGTGTTGTGTTTTCTTTGCTGCAACTATTTCCTCTATTGTGAGGAGCACATTGTCTGAAAGGAAAAAAATCTGTCTATTTCTGGTCTAGGACATATAGATCGTATCAAGCTTCAAGTCTGGAACATATCTATCTTGTTTCAGTGTGACTCAATCCTGCACCATCTGTATACCACAGTTCTAGTAAGAGAGAGGGAATTCACTGTGAAGACATGTCAGATTAACACCGGTTACTTTCTCTTTCTATGTCCCAGCTTTTTTCCTTAATCTTCAATCCCCAGATATAAATATTTGAGGCACTTCAGGCTTACAATGGACTGATTGAATCTCCATGAGCTGCTCTGTGACAGAGCGGTCAATCACCGTGTCCTCTGCTAATCAATGTCTTTCTTGAAAAGAGGACATGGGCACGATAAGAGAACGGGTCAGGAGGGAAGTAGGAGTGATGACAGACGCTGGCACTAGAAATATAGAGGGGCGAGGGATGAAGGGAGGTTTAAATGTGGATTGAGGGATGAAAAGAGGTCTGGATGAATGGAGGAGAATCAAATCTCCAGCTCTGGGGAGGTCTACGCACTCAGGAGCCATTAATCCGGCACAGATCCCCCTTTTCTTTATGTTTCATTTCCTCCTTGTTCCTTGAGAAAAAAAAAAAGTCTTTAGTTTTCTAATATTCTCTTATCAACTGTTCGATCATTACGTTTTGAATATGGCTTCTGTATTTTAATACCTGTGTATATTTTCTCTCCCTCGTTCCCACTAGAAAACATTTTCCGAAGTTGAGTATTCTCCTTCTAGCTCTGCTTTGGGATCGGATGTTAACTTTAAATGTACCACAACGAGTTAATTGAGTTGGAAGGAAGGGATGCACGTTTGGGAATTGTCAGCTTTATAATTCCCCCTTTCTTTCCTTCTTGAAGAGGAGTGGATTACTTCCAGACCTTGACAAGGAGACTCAGAAACAGATGCATGGTTCCATTGAAATGCTTCTCCAAATGCTTCTCGCCACACTCGTGGTGAGGATTGTTGACCAGTCTGTTGGTCCAGAATGAAATGTCTTGACAACAAATGGGTTGCTATCAAATTTATAAATCATGTATAAATATTCATGGTCCCCAGAAGGATAGAGACTTCGCCCCTCTACTTTCATCCATTGTCACAAACAAGTCAACACTTCAGTTCATGACGGGACACTTCTAACAGCGAAATTGCCACATGTTTCACACCAGCATTATGATATCCCATAGCTGTTCACATGAATGTAAACATGCCAATTGTTGGCACAGCATCTGCTTAGCAGGCTTGTGGCTGAGCCTAAGCACAGCTGTCAAATTTCAGTTTAGAGTTATCAGCTATAATTGAATGAGGGCAGACCAATTGGAAGAGTATCCCATACATTAAGGTCATCAGCAGAGAAAGCATCTTCATAAAGCGTCCTCAGAAGAAAGGAGATAGAACACGATCACCCAGGCATAGCGGCAAGGGGGCGCTGGAGCTCCTACGAAAAAAGGACCAAAATTCCTCTTTTTTAAGCAAACGTTTATGTGAAAGTAAAGCAAACAATATCCATACATATTAAAATATAAATAGGCTAATTAATCAAGCCAAAAATTTACCCCAGATGACCTCTTCTTTTGATTGGTTGCTCATAGCGCACGTGACAGCGATAGCCAAGGTTGGAGGAATTAGCTAGCCAAGCTACATGCTAGCCACCAGTAAAAAATAAAAAGAAGAAACATTTGTGTTGTGTTATGAATCGATGTGTTGTTCCAGTATAACGAGAAAGGGTGGAAGACTGTGATGGAGACAATTGAAAGAAAAACGTGAGTGTGATTAACGTTAACGTCACTGCCAACCCCATCCATGCCTGATGGACACGTGTCACTGAGGCCGTGTCACGATGCTTTTCCGGAGTTATTCCAGCTGCTGCGTGTCTCTCTGGCATTGTCAGTCGCTTCGGCTACATGCTAACGCAGCTAGTCGTGCTTTGCGTCCACTAAAGACACACCGGAGCAACAGGTGTGGTGATGGGAGAACCTGCTACAGAGAACTGAGGCTGTGGTTGACCGTTTCTCCTCTGTGACCGGCGAGTACAGACTTCTTTAAACCAACTAGTAGCTGTCTTTGGACAATGTGTGTATTTGCGTCACGCTCGTGTGTGTGAGGCCAGGCCAGCTCATGTCCCATATGTTTTCTGTTTGGGAATGATAATGAGCCACGTGGGCGGTTAGTGCAGTGACAAAAACAGATATTGATTTTAGTGATGATGCACTTTGAGCTGTATGTTTACATCAGAGACACGTAGATTAGCATGTTACCTGGATAACACCTGACATGAGAGAAAGTGAAAGCTCTTAATCAGGATAAACTGTTGGTATTTAACATTTCTTTTCACTGTACAGTATGTTTGAAATTGGTTATACAACCTATGTTCTTCTAAATATGTATTATTATTCCGCCGCGTTTTTTTGCTGAGTAACTCCTTCTACATACTTCAACGTGGAAACTTGATTCAAACATCAAGCCGTTAAGCTAAATTAGGATGTTATTGCTATTACTTTTCTCATTCATACATTTCATACTTTCCGAATTAATCAACGTATCCCTTTCAAAATTAAAGCCCCAGAAGGTAACTGTATCTTAACATGGAATAATACAATTGGTAATAATACATTTGAGTAAAACCCATTCCTACGTTTCCAACTATCCCTACTTCTCCATCTTCATACAGACTACAGCCAGCCAGCAGTGCAGCAGTGTGGCGTCAGCTGTCAAAAAAAATCTTTAAATATTTCAAATATTTTATACATCATTGGTGTTATTCAAATTTTCAGTGACATTCTTAGAAAATAATCCCATTCTTACACTTTTCTGAACTATTCCTAATACTTCACATTCCTATGCATTTAAACCAGCAGTCTGCTGCTCAGCATACAGCGTTCACATTGCAATTCCTTCAGAAATTGCTTTTCCAGTTTCAAATATGTTATTCGAAAGAATATAGAACTACTCTATAATGTCATTGTGTCAATTTTTTGCTCTTTTGTTGTTTTGTATATGTCTTACTGGATGATACATGTTTGGAAAATAGTAGTGCCTTATTATCCCATGTGGGCTGGCAACAACTTCTAACATTTTGATAGTACATGGCATTAATGATATTGATGTTGTGAGCCCAACGTACCGTTTTGTGTTCTATAATGCATTAACAATGTTTTTCTTTGTGGCTCCTGCCTGTATAACAACAGTGATTTATGTAACTGTGCACGGCTGCATGGTGTTCTGTGTGCAGTCGGTGTTTCATTGCTGTCTGTACACAATGAGGCATAAATACAGGCCGGTCTTCAGCTCCAGGAAGCACGCGTATGCACATAACTCTGAAAACAGACTCTCATTTTATGGCAGTAAAAGGCGCAAAATGTTTAGCACCTGCCTTCACTGATTAAGCCCCTATACGATCCCTGGTGGAGGTGAAATAAAGCCAGCAGCTTAAATCTCCCAGAACAACCTGGACATTATGGTGTTGGGGAGGTGGTGGGTGGCACAATGGTAGGTCTGAAAGATTGCATAGAGGCCAATTGGCTCCAGGAATGCCGAAATACCCTCGTTCAGAAATGGTCCCAATTTGTAAAAGTAAGGAACCTTGACAATGACAAAAAGCAGTAAGAACTTTTGACAAAGTTTAAAGTCCAGCTGAGGCTGACTGGTGTCCACACTGCAGATTTAGATAACAGCATGGCCTACCATCAGGCTGAACTTATCATAATATACATTTTCAAACCCGCTAGTGGTTACAATCTAAGACTGACGGTCTATTCTGTTTTCTGATGTGTAACGAGCGTCACGGCTTCATAGATCTGGGAAGCGTTGTGATAGATTTTTAGTCTGGTTTCCTTCACACTTGTCAGCAGAGTTTTCAGATAACTAAGATAAACGATGGGTGTCGGTTTCTCTGAAAGGAGAGACTGACGGCGACCTCTCTCTGCCTGCTGACCAGTCACAGCTAAGGTTTGGGTCCAGGCGTGTTTGTAGGTGTTAGTGAGTCAGTGTTGCTGTTTGTTTGGGTTTAGACAACATGGGGGGTGAGAGTGACTCAGTGGATTTCAGCTTTGGCACCTCCCCACTGCTTATATTGTATAACCTCCCGCTAATAGTAAGAACAAATATCTCAGGAAGCCCAGTTTAGGGTTTCCCACTGCGAGGCATGATGGGTTTCGTTCAAACTCCCGTAGTGTCAATCGAAGGACACAGTTTAAACCAATCTGGGGTTTTGTGTAACCTTTGACCTTAAACAAGCCAGTTGGCCCGCTCGTAAACATTTCCTGGACCGTTACTGGAGCCATGTATCACTCCGGTGTGCCTCAGGCTGCTCAGCCTGAATACATTTGTATTTTTGTCAGAAGCCTTTCCAGAGGAAATCTATTAGCACTGGGGTTTACTTAATCAGCATGAGTGATGGCCATCGCTATCGGTTAAGCAATGGAGAAAAATAGAAGCCTTGTCACGAGGTCATGCTCCAGTGTTCCCAAATGAAGGTGCCTTCTGGTGGTTTGGCCTGCTTAACGTATCCATCACCTGGGAGGTGTGAGTTAAAAGCAGCATTTAGAGTTATGGCCCATTAACTTGTAACTCTGGTCTCCATTTTCTTCAGTTATCTTGCAATGCTGTCACAGCACACGGTAAAATGGCAATAAAACAAACTTTTACCTAATAAAATGAAGACTCTAATCTGCAATGATGAAGTTGTTTTTCATCCGACACGAGGACATAATAAAAATGTCTTTTTTTTTTAAATAGGAAAGTACTCTTTGACGATACTGATTGCATTTTATAATATAGGGAAATGCAAAGAAGAGATGGACGTGTCGACTTAAAGCTAGCCGAAATAAACAAAGGTTATCGTAAAAGCCGTCGCATAATGGAAATCTTTCATCACACCTTTTTAATAGATCGTCTGTCACCAGGCTTCTCTCATGTTATAACCCAGAGAACAGGTGAGGCTTTGTTGTGGTCATTGTGTCTTCTTCTCTTTTGTCCTCCCGCCAGATAAGAGAGGCCTGCAATATGTCTTAATAACCTACATATAACATAAGAGCTTCCTTTTTAAGTGTGTGTATTCACAGCAGGTGTTTCCATATGGTCTGTATGGTGATGTCGGTGGGAGTGTTTCTGATGTGGCCTCCTCAAGTTACACTTTTTTTTTTTATCAAAGTGCAGCCACCATCAGCTGGGACGTTCTGAGCATCAGACACACGGGGAAGGTCATGAAGCAGGGCTGCTGGGAAGGTGTCAGACTTCAAGGCCACTGAGCGGGGCCCTGCGTCATCCGCCATTGTGAGGTGGGCCAGCCCGTTGGTGGTGGGGGGGGGGGGCTCAGAGGGGAGAGCAGCAGGGCGCCCTCAGGGATAAGAAGGACAGGGACCTTTTTGAAGTGGGTAGGGTTGCAGCTCTGTGGCCGAGTGACCCTCCCAGAACCCCACCTACACACATCACATATGGACACCTCCCGAAAACGACCCCTGGGAGCACTGCGGCTCCCGGGCCCAGGCAGTGTAACCTGAGAGTGGCTGTAGCAGCCTGTTAGACTACTGACGGAGTCTCCTTATTGGTCCAAACAGGAAGAGAGCGTGACCCCGTGAAGCCCCGGGGTCGAATACGTCTCCTAGAACGGTGACAATTGGATTAGTGTCTTATGTAGACCAGACGGCCTTGGGATCCCATGAACACCGACGTATTCACACAGGTAGAAGTAGCCTGGAAGCACTTGCACTCGCACATCCTAAACGTACACGTGTTGTTTCTAGCTGCCTGGCTCGGAGGAACTCAAGATAACCCGTTATGTTCAGGCAACAGCAGTGCGGCTCGTCAAGCGCATGATGTCACCGTTTTCATTCCTGTTTTATGATAGCGGGTCAATAATTGAAAGTGTTATCTGTTTTCAATGCATGAGTCATCTAGTCCGCTGTGCCGCCCTTTCTATCTTTAGCCATGCATTTATTTCTGAGCACAGTTCTTTATTTCAACAATCTAGCAGCAGACACACACCTCCTCTTTAGGGAGACGCATGGAAAGAGTGTTTTATAGCTCTGCTCCCTCGTGCCCTTTTTCCTCTTCTGTCTTCCTCACCGTCTTTCCTCTTAATTTGGTTCCCCTCCTCTCTTGCTGTCCTTTCCCTCTCGCTTGAGTAGATGAGGGAACGCCACCATCACTTTTGCAGACTTATAAAATCTGTCTAATCATCTTCTTTTTTTTTTTTTTTCCGCCAGTGGAGCCAGTTTGGTTGTCTGGTCAAAGCGTTTTGCGAGTGCAGTTATATACGTGTCTATGTACATGTCCTATGTGTGCTTATTTGTATGTGCTATACGTGTGTGTGTATGTGTGTGTGTGTGTGTGTGTGTGTGTGTGGTCAAAATAAGTGCATGTAAGCATGTGGCTGGCTCAGAGGAGCAGCGGTGCATACACTGCCATCAGTCAGAGCTCAGAGCCAGACCTGCTTTAATGTCTGCCATAATTAAAAAAGCTTTTAGAGGAGGGTGTGCCACTAACGGGGGCAAGGATGCGGGGGCGGTGCTGGGCTGGTTGGAGGCGCAGACTGAACAGTGCAGG